GGGGGGCCCAGCTGCCCTCAGCGAGGATCTGGAAAGGCCCTGCCTGGCCAGCTGCCCACATGGCCGCCCCGGCCTTTCCGGCTCTGCCGTGCCGTGTCCAGGGCCCGTGACCTGGGGGAGGGTCATTCGTGTGGTCACTAGTGATGGTGTTGCAGGGCACCCCAACGTGCAAAGGGACATAATCAAACTCAGCTCGGGCACACACAAGGCTGACAGTGGGCTTATTTACATGGGAAAGGGAATGAACAACTCAGGGAGAGAGGGAGAGGGAGCCGGGGAACTCGTGGACCAGCTCCGCCGACTGGAACCCCAGTAGCACGCTGAGAGCTGGCGAAAAGCCAGGAGACAAGCCGTGAGCCCTGAGGCCAAGGCCCCAAGGCCCACACGTCTGGTTCTGTATCAAACCTGCCTGCCTAACTCCACCCCCGGGCCCCACCAGGTCATCTCGGATTGGTGATGCTGGGGCCCGGGGGGAGTCCCCAAAACCTGTGTCTGTAGAGTTCTTTCAGGACATCCTTGCCCACTAACAACGGGGGCAGTGACCACCTCCAGGCCAGAATCACTTGGCCACCCCATGCTAGGGGCACGGGGCTCTGCCTCACCCAGCGCCCAGACCTGCTCTCCGAGTGCCCACCGCAGCCCCGGCAGGGCAGGGCAGGTGGCAGTGACTGACGGCGTCCAGGGGCTTGTGCGCCAGCTGCCTGATGGAGGCCAGACGCCTCCGGGCTGCTGACTTCTGGCACTGGCTGCCCTGGTCTCCCGCCCCACCAGTTTCCTGTCTGAGGGTCAGAGGGGACAGAGGACCCAGTGTCTTCCACTGGGTGAGCAGGAAAGGGGTGCTGGGCCCTTTCGGGAGCGTCTTTCCTCCCCCAGAGAGACAGAGGAAGGGCAGGTTCCTGGAGTCACAGCCGCAAGTCCATGCCACAGGCCAAGGCTACTCTGAGACTGTGATGGTCCCGGAGGCCCTCGCCCTCCCCGAGCCTCATCAGTCCCGGAAGCCGGGCCCAGACCTGGACTCCATGCAGCTGGCAGCCTCTCTGAGGGCCACAGTGCTGGGGCTTCCCGTGCTTGCTCCATGCAGCCTTCCCGGCCTGTCTGCCGCCGGGGGACTGGTCAAGGCCCCACAGCCCGGCCCTGGGAGGCACAGCCCCTCCCAGAGCCTGCCGTGAGGGCAGGGAGGGGCCAGGGCAGGACAGCTGTGCTCAGGTCGGCTGCACAGAGCGCTGGCCTCTGCCCCGCCAGCCAACCCTCTGCTTCCAGCCCTTACTTGGGGTCAGGAGGCTCAGCTCCCGAGGCTGCAGGGAGAAGCCTGGGTGGGCAGCTCGGCCAGTGTCTTCCAGGACCCTGTGCTGGATCAGAGAGTGGGGTCCTGGGGCCAGGAGGGAGGTGGAGGCCAGGCCCAGCCAGCTGGTGGACGGAGCCCAGCCAGGGTGCTGCCCACCCATCTGCCTGGGGCCTCAGTGGTCCTGCTGTGGCCGTAGCCTGGCCAGTGCATGCAGGAGGGGCTTCTCGGCAGGGCTGTGTGCAGCCTGTGCTGTAGGGAAGGGCCAGGGTCTACGTTGAGGGTCCTGGTGTTCCTCCGCTCCCAGCCATCCCTCACCAGACAGGCAGTGAATGGACACCCGAGGTGACCCCTGAACCTGTGCCCAGACAGTGCCACCCTTTGCCACAGGGCCCATGCTGCTCAGCCAGGAGGGGCTGCCCTACCTGGCCTGGCACGGCTTCCAGGCTGAGCACTGCAGGGTGGGGTCGTCGGGCGTCCAGGGAGATGCCCACTCGTCAGTCCAGGCTGCACGCCTGAGCTTGCTCCTGGACGCAGCCCCTCCGCTGTCTGCTCTCCTGAGGGCTGTGGAGAGGGGCGCAGGACCGCGAGATGCTCGGTGGGGCATGGGATGGCGGGCTCCCCCTTCCTAGCACCCTCAGGCCAAGGGGCGGGGTCTCGGCACCAGCCCCTGCCCGGCCCTGGCATATTGGCTCAGGGAGTCAAACCCCCACACCCGTGTGGCTTAGGTGGAGGCGAGCAGTGCGCAACCCCGCCCAGGACCCAGCGCCTGCCACATTCCAGGGCTCCGGGGCAGGCGTGGGGCTGGGCCCGGGGGGCATGTGTGTGTCCCTGGCGGCAGGGACCCCAGAGTCCTCCGCGGGCTTGGGCCAGCGCCCGGCCGCCGCCCTGGGGAGC